AACTTCAGAGGCAATATATCCCAACCCATACCTGAACAAGAATTCTCTCTACAACAAATTCAGGAATAAATGACCTAGTCTGTGCTCTAATAACTCTAGACAAGGTGAACTTAAGACCCCCACGATTTGGCAAACAATATTATAGCTTACCACATTTTCTGCAGTGTTTAAATCAAACCTCAGAGAATTGATTAGGTCACCAGGGGATAATGTGTAGAGAGAGAAGTTAGGTACAGCACCTTGGGAAACTCTGACACTTCAGGGAAAAGTGGTCAGGGAACCAACCGTTAAATGAGAATGAAAAGGAATGGGTAGTCAGATCAGAGAACGGGGGAAGAGCCTTGAAGATTCCAAGTGTAACCAGAAGGGAAGAAAAGATGATTAAAAGTGTGAAATGGTGGAGAAAGGTCAAGGACAATGATAACTGATAAACAGCCATAGCACCTGGGAACTAAAAGATCACTAGGAATCTTGGAGACAGCAGTTTCAGGGGAATGGCAAGACCCAAAGCCGTTGTTATTAAGAGTTGAGCAGGTAGTGAGGCAGGGGAGCCTGTTATGTATGTTGCTCTTTCTAGAAATGTGACCATGTGGGAGAAGGAAGATGTAGCTTTTGCAGAATATTTTATCTATTTTAGTCCATTTTAGGCTTTTGCTTTTGCAGAAATAGCTTTTGCAGAAAATTTTATTTATTTTAGTCTATTTTAGGCTATGTGAGGCACACACGTTTGTCTCATGGGAAGGAGCCAGTAGATATGAAGAGATTGAAGATGAACAAGAAAAGCAGTGATTGATGGAATGAAGTCCTAGAGAAGATTATAAGTGATGAAATCAAAGATAAAAAATGGAGGTGTTATTCCCAATAGGTAGCCTATGAGAATTGAATGAAGAGATGATGGGTGAGCACAAAAAAGGTAGTGAATTATTAGGAATGGTGGATGTGGGAGATCATGATAGATGACTTCAATTTTCTTTTTTTTTAAATTTTTTATTAATTTATTTTGACTTATCAACAATCACTTCCATAAGCTTTTGAGTTTTAAATTTTTCTCCCCCTCCCTCCCTATCTCATATGGCGTGCAATCTAATATAGGCTATAGATATGCATTCCTATTAAACATATTTTCACGTTAGTGATGTTGTAAGTAAGAATTAGAACTAATAGGAGGAACCACCAGAAAGAGGAAACAAAACACAACAGAAGAAAAAAATAGCAAATAGTATGCTTTTTTTGTATTTTTTTTTAGGCAATTGGGGTTAAGTGACTTGCCCAGGGTCACACAGCTAGTAAGTGTCAAGTATTTGGTCTGAGGCCGGATATGAACTCAGGTCCTCCTGACTTCAGGGCTGGTACTCGATCCACTGTGCCGCCTAGCTGCCCCACAAATAGTATGCTTTGATCTGCTTTTCAAACTTCATAGTTCTTTCTTTGGATGTGGATAGCATTTTCCACAATGAGGCTTTTGGAGATGTCTTAGATCCTTGTATTGCTGAAAGGGGTTAAGTCTATCAAAGTCAGTCATCACTCAATGTGGCTGTTACTGTGTACAACATCCTCCTGGTTTTGCTCACTTCACTCAGCATCAGACCATACAAGTCTTGCCAGGTTTATCTAAAGTCTGCCTGTTCATCATTTCTTATAGCACAATAGTATTACATTCATATATCACATTCACAATTATGATTACTATCTGTGTCTTTCTCTCCATCCTCCCCCCACCCTGTTTATGTTTTTCTTTCTCCTTTTTCCTTTTCCGTCCTCACTAATATTTTGCTTTTGACCACCGCCTCCCTCAGTCCCTCCTCCCTTCTATTAACTCCTTCCCTTTTCTTCCCCTTTACCCTTACTGCTTCTTCCCTCCCTTCTATCTCCCCTCCATTTTCTTTCCCCTTTTCCCTCCTATTGCCTATAGGGCACATTAGATTTCTATGCCTAACTGATTATGTTATTCCCTTCTTGAGCCAAATCTGATGAGAGTAAGGTTCAAACAATGCTCATCTCCCTCTCTTCTTTCCCTCTACTGTAATAGGTTTTTGTGCCTTTTCCTGTGATGTAATTTACCCTTGTCTGCCTCCTCCTTTCCTTTTCCCTCAGTACATTTTCTTAGTTAGATCAGATTAACTCACTTACTTTGATCCATTTAACCTACTTGATTAGATTTTTTTCATCATTACATCAAAGTCAATTTATACCTACCTGCTTTATGTATATCCCTTTAACATGGTATCATAACAATACAGTTCTCAAGAGTTACAAGTGTCATCTTCCCTTGTAGGGAGGTAAATAGTTTGCCATTATTAACAACATATTGTATCTTTCTGTCCCATTTACCTTTTTATGTCTCTCTTGAGTCTTGTATTTGAAGATCAAATTTTCTGTTGAGCTCTGGTCTTTTTATCAGGAAGGTATGGAAGTCCCCTATTTCATTGAATATCTATTTCATTTCCTGAAAGATCATGTTGATTTTCCCTGGGTAGTTGATCCTTGGTTGTAATCCAAGCTCCTTTGCCTTATGGAATATCATATTCCACGCCCTACAGTGTTTTAATGTAGAAGCTGCAAGGTCCTGTGTAATCCTGACTGTGGTTCTATCATATTTAAATTGTTTCTTTCTGGCTACTTGCAGTATTTTCTCTTTGACCTGGTAATTTTGGAATTTGGCTACTATATTCCTTGGTGTTTTCAATTTTGGATCTCTTTCAGGAGGTGATAGGTGGATTCTTTCTACGGCTATTTTACCCTCTGGTTCTAGGACCTCAGGGCAGTTTTCCTTTATGATTTCCTGAAAGATACTGTCCAGGCTCTTTTTTTCATAGTGATTTTCAGGTAGACCAATAATTTTAAAATTGTTTCTCCTGGATCTATTTTCCAGGTCAGTTGTTTTACTAATAAGGTATTTTACATTTTCATTTATTTTTTTTCATTTTTTTGTTTTTGTTTGACTGATTCTTGCTCCCTCACAGAGTCACTAGCTCCCATTTGCTCAATTCTAATTTTTAACAAACTGTTTTCTTCTATTAGATTTTGTACCTCCTTCCCTATTTGGCCAATTTTATTTTTTAGGGACTTGTTTTCTTCACTGTACTTTTTTCCCAGTTGGCCAATTGTATTTTTTAAGGGCTTGTTTTCTACAGTTAATTTTTGTTCTTCCTTTTCCAAGCTATTGACTCTCTCTTGCATACCTCTCATTTCTTTTCCCATTTTTTCTTCTACCTCTCTCATTTGACTTTTAAAATCCTTCTTGAACTCTTCTAAGAAGTCTTTTTGGGCTTCAGACCAGTTCACATTCCTTTTGAGGTTCCAGATGTGGGTTTGTTGACAGTGTTATCCTCTTCAGAATTTCTGTCTTGATCTTCACTCTTCCCATAATAAGAATCTATCATACGGTTCTTTTTGCTCATGGTGTTTGCTTATTTCCTGGCCTTTAAAGAGATTGGGCTCTCCTGCTGGGGAGCAGAGGCACTGACCCAAGCTTCTTGTGTTGGGAGCCTAGGACCTGGTCACTGGCTTTGTGTGCTGGGGCCTCTGATGCTGGCAGTTGGAAGCTGCAGGATTCTGGTGCTGGACTGGAATCAGCAACACAGGAGCTCTAGGGGTAGGATTGGGTAGTGTGGCTCCTGGAGATTTCCTGCTCACCCAGGCCTTTCCTTCCTTTTGCTTTCTTCAGCTCCTTTCAGATGGATGTTGTAGGGTGTTTATCCACCAGGGGCCCCTTGGAATGCTGCTTCCCTTAGTTTTGCTGAGGCACTGGGAGAGCCAGTTGCTGTGGAATGCTGAGGCACCTGGTGGTTTTCTGAGCTGGTTTCCACCAGTTCCCTTGTCCTCAATGAGGCTTTTGGGGGTCCAGGTGTTGGTGTTTGCTTGCTCCACCACCTGGGCTTCAGGATCCCTTCCTGGTATGCTGATGTGGGGCTTTCCACTAGCTTGCTGGGATGCCTCCCATTCTGTACTTCTCCCCTTCCCCCAAGGTAAGAGGGGCTTTTCCAGTTAATTCCTGAAGCTACCTAGGCTACTGGACTGCTGCACCCCATTTTTCTTCTGGTTCAGCTGTTCCAGGGCTTTTCCTGGGGTGATATTTTCTGGCCTTTCAGGGGTTAATAGGGGAGGATAAGAGAGACTCACGTCTTACCTAGCCATCTTGGCTCCCAGAAGACTTCAATTTTCTTAATAATGAAGCAGTTGAGATCATATGACTCAACAATGGGTGGGTAAAAGTAAAGTTGAGGGCTTGAGGGAAAAAGAGAGGATTATTGGATTATTCACTAGAGGGAGTATGACAGAAGACCAATCCAAGGGCCCAGATGAGGTAATATGGCAAAAGATCTGCACAAGTTCTTTCAGAATTGCTCAGGAGCTAGAGAGAATTTAGGAAAGGTAGATGATGGGGTGGTTGTGTGGTGGGGCTATAGGATCAAAACTCTAAAAGGAGGGAAGTCTGTTGTGAATGGATGGACATTCTTTGAAGTAAAGGTAAAAACCTCCCAGATCTTCTAAGTTAACAGCTATCTGACTTTGGGCAAATTAATTCTGGTGGTATAGAGATAAGTGTTTAACATTTGGTTTACCTGGACAAAAATATACATGACACATTTTAAGTTTCATCTGCATTATTATCATTTCTCTCCATTACTTTCTTAAGTCTAGACAATGAAGAAAACAATAACTCAAGTTCTAATTTATAGAATTGGCTGATTCCCGAGGCTTTAATGCTCACACTGAAAATTTAACAATTGAGTCTTGTGCACTGTTGGATCTGGCTCCAGCATACCCCTGAATTAACCCTTCTTGCCTTTATTTTCCTAATATACAAAGTGAAGGGGGTTTAATGATAATTTTTAGCGCTTCTACCTTTTAAGTCTAAAATCTTGAGTCATGTGGAGATTACTTACAATGTGGCTGATAAGAAGTTCCCTTTGTAATCATGCCAAAGATCTGATATGGATTGTTTCATTCCCAGAGTATTTTGTTTCCCCAAAATGTACTGTCAGTTCTATTCTTACCTTTTATTGCAGGATCTCAAGTTGTTCTTTCTCCAGAGTTCCACCAAAATGGTTTTCCTCTTATAACTTCTCACCATAATTGTTTTCTTGCATTGGAATTGTCAGGAGTCACAGCTGATGTCAGGAGAAGGCTGCTCAAATGATAAATGTGTGATTCTCTTCTGTTACCTGATTTTCACAGTCATGATACCATCTGAGGCAGCTTTATTACAATTGAGATCTGTGGGCAGATTCAATCTATTAAACAAGCAGAAACATGTAGACTAATCAAATAGATGCTAATGAGCAAATAATTGTGGACATGATTAAGCAACTGATGTTACTCATGAAATTGTTTTGGAGTAACTTCGGAGAATACCAGATATTCAGTTTATGATAAAGATATGATTTTGCTAAATTAAATTCTCTGATAGCCATTGATCAAATTTGCTCATGATGAAATGCTTATAGAACATCATGCTCAAATGAATGGGGCTGATCAAACTTCTATTTTCCCTCAGAGAAAAATTTTTTTTCTGACAAAAGCTGCAAGTTTATGTAAGAGCACATTTTAATTGGGAGTGGCATCAATATCATTAGGTGGTCAAATTAAGGAAAACTAATTATACTTGAATCAGTTAATGACAAGATGGTGGGTTGTTTTTTGTTGAACCTTCCAATTTTATAATCCCCCAAAAAGGAAATATTCACCAAGTCTATCAAAATTTAAGTTGAATCCACAAGATGTGACAGAAATATCAAATAAGATAAAAGCCTCATGAAATTACATCAGAGAACTTAAATACTTAGAAGGCCTCTCAATTCCTAGCCTGCCCTGTAATATGAAGTATAACCTACAAAAGCAACTTCAGAGATTTGTGTTTCCAGATCTCTTTCTGGCTATTCCTCAGCAATATTTCATTTTGAACCACATATATGTCCTTCCAAAGAGGCAAAAATTATTGATCCTGCTCAGTCAGGTGAAAGAATGAGAGTATAGCTGGGTGTGGGTAACTGGAGGACAGGAAGTCATTTGGCAAATTAGAAGGGAAGGGCACCAGAAACTTTATGAAATCAGTCAAGTTCTTTGCCCAGCATAAAGTCCCTCGGGTGAGCCTCAGCCTTTACTCTGGGCAAAGACCTAGTTAGGCACTCATACCCAAGAATTCAGCTAGGTAGAGGATGTCTGCAGTAAAAGAAGAAGGAGCCAAATAAAAAAGGAGGGAAGTAAGAGATAAACTATTGGGAATATAAGAAAAAGGCTAAAATTCAAAACTCCAAGACAACGGGGCTACATTTAAACCAGAAATGTATTTGTAAATACTTGACAACTAGTTCTCTGAAAAATGTAGCCAGGACATACTTCATTATTAGTACTTCATCCATCATTTTGTTAAGTCCAGACTATCAAGAAAACAATAAGTCAACTCCTCATTTGAAGTATATGCTAATTCCCAAATTGAAATTTTGCTCAAATTGAAAATGTATCAATAGGCTCTTGGATTGTCAGAGTACACTGCTGATTTAAGTATAGCACCCAAGCAGGAAAACCAATAACAAGATTCTTAAATACCAAAGGAAAGAATGAGTAAAATTAAAAGAAAGGCTATATGACTGAAGAGAAAATGAAACAAAGCCCTGCAGTGAAAATATTCTGAGGCATATGCAGAAAACTTGGAGCAACAGTTAGACAATATAAAATGCTTCAAAAGAGACATAAAACTTTGAAATAAAGGCATTAGTATGGAAATCAGAGCTCCCAAAGAAGAAATAACAAAGACATACAACATGGCAAACAATATACGATGCGTGATTGAAAACCTCTCCAAAGCAGTAAAGGTTCTGAAAAAGAGAATAATAGATCAAAATCACCAAAATACATAAGGAGGGAATAAAAGTTGGCAGAAATGAAGCAAAAAAAACTTTGAAAGAATGCACGGATTATATGAAAGCCAAAGCATGACCTTGAACACAGGATGTGCAGAAGGAACTTGTGCCTCAGAGGCCTCCTCATAAAATATGATAAGCACCACTTAATAGGAAATGATATGAGACTGCCAGATTGATTTTTAATATTTTTTGGCAAAATGTTGATTGGTCAAATCTACAAATTGCTAGATGAGAAAAAGTCCACATGAGAAACTAATGCATGCAGTGTTTAAATTTCACGATTTCAATAGCAAACAACAGTGTGCCAGCAGTCAGGAGAAATGCCTTCAACTATGCAATAACATCAATTCAAATGTCTGCCATTACTCTGCAACTACAAGAACTACACACTTATACACATACATATGGTATAGCAGAAGAAAGCAGAATAAAATGATAACAAAAATAAGTCAAAAAGAGGGTACCCTTGACACTACCAGAACTCAAACTACAATACTAAGGTATATAATATTGTATTTTTTATAAAAGAAAAGAAAATCCATGGAATAATCTTGATGGAAACAATAGAGCTTGGTAAAGGCCAAAACACACATTACTGGAAAATGGATAACAAATGGAGGGAAAACTAGAAATCAGTCCAACAAAAATGGATTTTAAACATTGTCTTTCACTGTATTGGGTAACAAATTACAAATAGATAGAGGTATCAAATATAAGGAGTCCTAATTTAAAATTATTATGACATTAGAAATGAAATCTTTTTGTTACTGTGTGTGCATACAAAAAGCATCAAGAGGCTGGCCTCTGCTCCTCCATCATTTCAAAGTTTCAAGAGGCCCTGAATCAAAGAAAAGAAGATACAAACAGCAGGCAGACTTATTTCAGACACAAGGTTACTGAGGTGGCCATACCTTTGCCAGATGATAATAATTAAGAGCCACATTTCAACATACTATGAGTGAAGTTGGAAACCTGATTTCAGGTAGTTGAGTAATAAGTAGGGGTTAAGTCAGTGACATTCTTTAAAGGAATTCAACACTGAATGGCAGGAAGAGACATAGGAACATAGTCTGAGCAGCTGAAAAAATCAAGGAAATTTTGTGTTGTTTATTAGGGTGAACAAAATCTGTGTCTGTAAATAGGATGGAAAGTGATAACATACAGAGAGAGACTGAAGATGAGGGAATCAATTATCAAAGGATAAAATTCTGTAGATGAGAGAGGGTGGCATAGGTATAAGTGAGGGGTTATCTTTGGCAAAAAAAAAAAAAGAGCTAATGACCTCTGAAAATGGAGCAGGGCATGGTAAGAATATAATGAGATTTAAAATACTAAGAATAGGTGATGAAGCTAGGAAACCCCAATCTTGTCAGTAAAGTAGGATGTCACACTTGAGGAAATACCTCAATCCTCAATCATGCAGCTATTTTGGTTAGTCTGAGGATCATATAAAGGGGCAGAATGGTAGAGTGATGGAATGCTATTCTTAGAGTCAGTATGCCCTGGTTTGAATCCTGCCTCATAAGCTTAAGAACTGTGTACCTTTGGGTAAAGCACTTAAACTTTATCACTTTCAACCTTCTTATCCTTAAAATAACCAGTGGCAGCTAGGTGGTGCAGTGGATAGGGCACCAGCCTTGGAGTCAGGAGGGCCTGAGTTCAAATCTGGCCTCAGACACATAACACTTACTAGCTGTGTGACCCTGGGCAAGTCACTTAACCCCATTGCCTAGCCAAAAACAAACAAAACAAACAAACAAAAATTATCATAGGGCTTCCCTCACATTTGTTGTCAGTCATTCAACAGACATTTATAAGTGCTCACAATATATTGTGAGGACCAAAAAAAAAAAAGATAATAAATGTAAAGTGCTTTTCAAATAGTGCATTATATAAATGTCAGTTATTAGTATTTAGTTATGTTTTCTGGTGAAAATTTTATTTTTACCTTGGAATTATGTATCTTAGGAACATCAAGATATACCATTGTCTCTTATGAAATAAAACTTATGATCACAATAGTGAGTAATGGAGAAGTACACAGTGGCTGTGAACAATGAGGAATTCTGAGGAAAAACAGAAGTAAAATATCATCAAGGACTTCTATGACCGAAAGAGATGACAGTCTAGTCTATGGTACACATAATGAGGCAGGACATCTGGACTGCCAAGGTGCTCCATTGCTACCCTTGCAACACTGGGAGAAAGTAAGAAGAACTGCTAACATGTTGGCTGGATCTCTATGTGGCAAACTTTTGGGAAGTCATGGATAAAATGCTAAAGATACACACCTTGCAATAGTTGCGATCTGTATGGTTGCAGGGAATCCCATTCCCACTGGTTTGGTATAACATCATAGACAAAAATGTATACATTTTGGTGAGAGTGTACCCAACTTAAGTCAAAATGGCTTATATTGAGATATCCAGGTTTACTGCTGTGCTTCATCTTCTCTACTAATTGTGTGTTTTTATCAGTTTTCATGGAATTCACTTCCTTCTAATTATTGACCTAGGAGTAGAATGATAGGAAAGAAGTTCATTGGAAAGGAAAGATTCATGTACAGGATTTCTCCTGTACTTTCTAATACAGCCATGTTGCTATCAAAGAACATGAACATTGACAACTAATTTGTGGACAGAACAGGCAAAATTAAATGTTTACATGAGCTTCTTTTTCCCCCGAATTAGTTTCTTCATCAATCTATATGCCCTCATATTGAAAAATATTCTACAGATCCACAAAGCCTGAATAATAGTTTTCTTGATCTACTCTGGCTGGGTCAAAAGGTCAAAGACCTTTATCTGTGAATATAATTTCCTAGTAATGATGGCTAAGCACACAACTGCTTGCAGACTTGTATGATTATGTTATTATTCTGAAATCATATATTTAATTATTTTTACTCTTGCCAATCAATTGGTCTGATTAGTCCTATTACTAGTATCATATACCTCACTTTATTCACCTTATTCTTTATATACCCCACCAGTGTTCATTCTGTTTATGTGAAGTAATAAAGGAATGATACTCAAAATATATTAAATATTTGGAAATGTTTCAACTCTCAGTCCTGATCTTCAAGAGAGAGGTGGTTCAGTTCCTAAAATTTGTCTTATAACGCAAAGTTAGTATGGAGTGGGGGAGGGGTTGGGAGAGGGCAATAGGAGGACATTCCTTAAAGTTCCATTAGTATGCTCTTAACCTATGAAAAGGTTAATTTATCTTATATCATTTCAATCAAAATAATGGACATA